GCACTCTTTTTATATGTTAAAATAATTAAGATTAAATATAAAAAAGAGATTAAAATTTTGAATAATTTGTATATTATAAATGTTTAACCTTAATTTAAATATAAATAAAATATATATATAGATTAAACTGAAAATATTATTTTATCTTTAATAAATAAAATTATATAAATATTATTTAATATTATGAACTAGTGAATTTAGCATCACATTAATTATGACCTCTATATGTATATAACGATATGAAAAAGAAGAGAAAATTAAGCAAATACATCATGGACGAAAACAGAAACTAAGCAGCGCCTTTCTTAACCAGCAGCTGCAAGGCCCGGCGAATATCATCCTGAATAATAAGAAAGGGCAAACCATAGTTAAATAAAAACGGCAAAACAAAAGAAGAATTTCCTAAATTTTGAATAAAAAGCATATGTCATATTAATTTATGTAAAACTAAAACCATTTGTGTGTGTAGCATGGATCGAGGAGTGAAATTCATAACATTTTCTTTTCTTTTTCATATCCTTTTATGTATATAAAAGGATAAGTGTTTATTTGAGATTTCGTTGTGGTGGGGGCTTTTATTCGAAGCTTGTACTTGTACAATGTCATGTTATGAGTTCCATGTGGATCAATGGACGTCATGCCTGTAACTTTTTTTTGTTTTTTGATAAGCAAAAGGTTACGAAGGACAAAGAAATAGAGTTTTGTCTGCAGGTGTATATAGGGGAGCAACAAACCACAGAAGACAACCCAGACCTATCGAAAAAACATTAATTAATATACAAAGAGAAATCCAATTCAAGATCAAACTATAACGAGCAGAGGTCTATGTGCACTAGCATTGCAGCTTGAATTTGCAGCAAACACCTATCGCCATCATCAGAAATCTCAAGTAAATTCCATTTGAAATTAAATCCACTAGCCTGTGAGCTTTTCATCAACCTGTCACCCTCAAGCAACAATAAATCCAATCAATCTGTCACCCTCAAGCAACAATAAATCCAACCACTAACATATTCCATCCCCATGCTATTACTAGTACAGATTTCTTTTCCTAACCGCTGCTTTCTAAATTAGTTGCTCTTAGTGACGTAGTCCTATCATTGCAGACAAAGCCATATTGGGGAAGTGAACATAAGAAGAACAAAGAACCTCTATGTGCTTCGGGAATCGCACATACAACAGTAAGATAAGAGAAAAAACGGTTTCTAAAAACCCATTTCTTTTTATCTTGAATGAGGAATAATTTTCCTTTAAGAGAACTCGACAGGGAGTATCTATCTTTCATGCATGCCCCTTTTCTTCTTTACTAATATGTGTTTGAGGGTATCAAAATTAAGGAAGAGGACAAATTACTGTAGGGCACGCCTCCCATTATATTTGTATGCATTGTATCAGCATGACTTGATGAAACAAATAACGTAAATCTTAACTAAGATTTTGCCTCACCTGATATCATAGTTTTCTTAGAACCATCGCATGGTTTATATCTAAAATAAAAGCAATTTTTAGCTGGTTTTTTGGTCTCTGTTTTTTATTGATAAAATATTCTTTATCATCGCTGAACCAGAAACTCGAATTTTCATCCCATTTCGATAGTATCTGCCTATATTCTTACACACCCGTATATATGTAGGCAGACTATCAGTAACCTATATATAGTAACCAAATAAATAGAATATTGGTGATGTAGCTAAGATGAGAAAAATGCAGAGGTTTCTTTCTCTTTGTTGATGGGGGGAAAAGATGGCGGTACCACTACCTTTATTGGTCGCAGAGAAAAAAATTTGGCCTCTGCAAGTTGTCAAGAAAGCTCACTCTCTCCACACAGACACAAAGAGAAAGAAGAAAAGCTAATAAAGCCTAAAGGAGAGGAGGAATGCAACAGACTTTCATGAGTGCACATATCGAGGAAGCTTCTACCTTTATGCGCACAAAGTTAAGGGTCTTCCTTGCCTCAAAATCTACAGCATGAGTACGTTTTATAACAAATTATGAAGGCACCAAAAAAATATAATATAACATAGATTTACATTAATTTACATGCCTAATGTGAGTATTATGCTCTGTGGTATATATGATTATAACAATGAAGGCACCAAAAAAATATAATATAACAGGGTGATTGAGGCGCGATGTTCAAAGTAAATTAAATCATTGATTTGCATCCTAATCGAGGCACCTTGGATTCTGTTTAACTTCCCCTTTGATACGTTCGGGTTCTCGCTTTGAATGTTTGCTAACAAAGTGATGCCTAGAAGCTTTTTCTGTCCCCCGTCTCTCATGCTTTTGGGCACAGGATATCGAGCTAGCTGTGGATAAAAATATGGCTGGATAGGTGGAGTTTATGCTAAGGATTTTGACTGGCAACGTTTACTGTGATGATCGAATAATCCACCCTGTGTAAATTTTTGAGAGCTAAGTTTCAGTAACCATTCCCGAAATAATGCAAACCACACTCGTTACCTACTTTACAAAAAATTCCCTCATTAACTTCTCCTAGTACAATCAAATTACCATGATCGGTGTCATTTAAGTACTCTGTTACTATTTTTTATTTTTTACAAAAATGACCATATATATCAGGATATCATTTGAACTATGTACAGCGATCGTCTCTAATCGTTTACACTCTTCGTCTGATATTTATTAATTTTTATCACTTTCTAAAGGTTAATATAATTTTGCTCAACTTTTTTATTAATTCTATTGAAAATTTTAAATAGTTTTTAGATATACTGAAGTTTATATTTTAAAACTATTTTAAAAAATAATATAAAAAGAAAAAATTAATAAGAGATATATTATATTAAACTTCAAAAAGTCAAGAGGCCAGAAAAACTGGGATGGTGGTGATATTTCAAAATACAAAATATATAAATAAAAAGTTATTTAGTATATAGGATAATAATTAATCAATAATTGAAGGGATTAAAAAATCCTCAAATGATAAAGTCGATATTTTTATAAGAAAAATATTAAATGACTTAAAAAGATATTAAATTTCAGGAATGAAAATATTTATTCTTGAGTTTTAAGTTTATTAATACTCTGAAAGTTTAAGTATTTTTATTTTAAAAGATAAGAAGTTATAAATTTTTTACATAGATAATTCAAGAGGTATCTATATCTTTCAAACCTTGTCGTTTTTTTTAAAAGAAAAACCTCTACTTTCAATAATATTAATGAGAAACAAATATCTCTTATAAATTATTAATGAGATGGTAAGTATAGTAGGTCTCTTAAAAGATCTTATATATATTTATAAATATAAAAAAATTATTATCTTAACATGAATAATTATTTTAGATGCAAAGGTATGACGATTTATTATATCCTTAATACTTATATTATAAAGGATTGTTTAGGATTAGGCATGAAGCCTTGAAATTTGGTAATGTGTAACTTTTTTAGGCTGACATGTTTGGCTGAATAACAAACACAAGTATTTTGAGTTTAGTATTTTGAGTTTGGCATAGTTAATGAACTTATGTTGTATTCGATATCATTAACTTCTAACCTTAAATATCTAGAATTTGACATACTTACTTGGCTCACATTACCTTGGACTTGACTGAATGTCAAGTTCAAATATCTACTTAGCTAATTATTAGGTTTAAGTATCCTGAGTTTAATATATTTGTTAAATTTATTTAATTTAAAAAGCTTTTTATTTATAAAAATCTTAACTTTTATCTCAGTAGAAGGAAAGAGTAGTTTTCTTTAAAAACGAAAGGAACTAGAATTTGAATGTCAATGGACAGTGATAATGGGCCAATATATATTGCCATAGAGAACTTAAAAACGAGGATGGTCTGTCTGATTTGAAAAATAAAATGAACAGTCATCAGTATAACTGTAAGTTTAAATATAAGATAATCAAGAATGACAATTAATTTTTTTTAGATAACTGTTCCAAAGAAATTGATAATGAAAAGTTATATATATATATATATATATATATATATATATATCAAATCGAATATTTAATTGGTGTGGGAACATGGGTTTTCAAAGACTTTTGAAGATATCAAGACAAATCCTTATCATTAGCAAAGAACATTAATTAGGAATAATCATGTATCGAAATAATCCTTGAGACACTCTTCGGCACGTAACCCTTGAGATTTTCAAGAATATATCTATCAAAGTCAACCATGGACTTTTTTCCTCATGAGGTAACTCCAGACTCGTCGAGCCTTGGGGAGCCATATGCACCTGAATGTGTGCATACACATACACTCATACGCTTGCTTAATACAAACATGGATTTATGATTAATAATAAAAAGTCATTATTTGCCTTGAAAAAAAAGAGGGCGTTATGGACGTAACAGGAGTTCAATGTTCTCGGCCCAAAATCTGAGGCGTTCTAAGCTCATCGATTCATCATGGGCCTTACTACACTTTATAATGGGCTTCAAGGTGCTGTTTTTACGGTGAACGAGCTAAAGCCCACATCTTTTGAACTCCTGAGGCCATCCAGGGTAGAAGCTTTGCTGTAACTTACAACTACCATGATTTTATGAAGGTGGTGAAACGAATGTTGAGCTTATATGGGATTTCCTTCCATATCTCACATCGCCATGATCATGTCCTGTTTCTGATAGAAATATCTTTGCGCTGCTTCTTCTAGCAGCTTCGATCTGTAGGCTTGCAACGCCCATATCCTTAGTCCCAAGCTTCTCTCGTCCTATAGTCATGGAGGTGCTGTGAATTTACGAAACTCTCCATGTTGAGCTTCTCTGAGTCCTCAATTAAGCTCCCCCCAGTCCAATCTTTATCCCCTTCAAAGCAAAACCCAGTTTTTTTCCCTTGAGGGAGAGTTTTTGTACATAAATTTGTTTTTCAAGGTGTTTTTTAAATTATTTTTTATCTAAAAATATATCAAATTCATGTAGATGATTTTAAGGTGTTAATGTAATAAATAAATTGATAAATTATTATCAAATACATCCTAAATTGATAGTTTAAAACAAGATAGATCATATACTCGCAAGTGTGTAACATCATGAGTTGTAACTCAGCATGGATAATGGAAATTTATAAAGCATGAATACAATCTTTCGCCTAGCTATTTCTAGATTAATTAACACCTAAGAATATTTAATAACTTTTCAATATATTATTCCATCCCAAGCTAGAACTGGTCATTTTTTTCTTCATGACTTGGAAAGCAGCTACAGACTACACTTGAAGATTAAATACACCACAAAGTACCCACCAAAACTATCAAAAACATAGTTGACGTCAGTTAATCACGGGGATGCGTCAAAGATATCAGCAGGGGGGATGAAATAGTCCATGGAGAGCCCTGGCACGTTGAACACAACATCATCAATCCTCCACACTTCTTCCATTCTAGTCCTACTATGCTGAACAGACAACTCCTCGAATCGAAAAACTGTAGCGATTGACCTTCCTTGGTGAGCAATCAGCACGCCATCCACATCTCTGTAGTCCCCGATACTGCTTCCTATGGTAGTCTCCCAGTAGATAGTTTCGTTTTCTGGGGTTTGTACTCTGGTTAGATGGGAGTCCTCCAGGTATATTAAGAGACCACTTTTTTGGCAAAAATAGCCGTATAGTACATGCCTGAGCACTTCAGCTGGTCCTTCACTTCTTTCAATCACAGCTTCTCTGTCAGCAGCTACTTTTAGAACGAAGCAATCATCCTCGCCAATTCGTTTCTCACCTAGGCACTGTGCTTTAGCAAATAAGTTGGCTGTGTTCTTTGGATCTAAGCCCTGGAATATCAATCACCACAAGACTAATAAATAAGTACATGTAGAAGAGGTCCAAGTTATACGCAATGTAGTGTTTGAATAGCACATAATTAGATGCAAGGCAGGTGCCAGTGGGCTTGAATAGCACATAATTATATCAAATAAGTACATGTAGAAGAGGTCCATGCGTCCCTCTTCTAAAAGATCTCGGCTTTAAGCCTTTTTTTTATATAATAATGAAAAAAAAGAGAGACAAGGTGCACGAAATCGAATGAAAGAATGAGAAATTAAATCATAAACTTCAAAGAATTCAATGAGATATCGGTGATTACTTTGAGTCCTTTTCTTCTTGTTTGAGAATGGAAGGCAGCAAATTTAAGTCTAGAATAACTAGTTAATAAAGAACGATGACGGGGGAGGTCCAAATATCTTTGGTCCTTCCATACATGCTCTCCCTATGCTCTTACATCCTGGCCTTGCTATTCCACTAACACATGAAAAATATGAAGCGTATATAGTAATATGCTTTTCATTCAAGGTGGACAAAGTTTCAACAATTGGGGCCAGTGATTCCTCTCATGTACTCACAGCAAGCGAGGAAACAAATACAAAATGGGGATGGCCACACTCCCTAATTAAGAGCGTATGAAGCAGTTATATTCCTCATGGCTAATTCCGAGTCTTGTTTTCTTTCGTTCTTTATTTTTCTTTGTGGGTAGGAAACATGGCTTCGGCACAAAAAGAAACCGCAAAGAAATGCTTCTCATACGGGCAAGAGCATTAATTAGCCCTAGATCTATATCTACCAAAGGAAGTAGCCCCTCAGGAGATATTAGGATTTTTAAGTCCATCAACATAGTTTCTAATTGTTAGAAGTCCTGAAGCTCGCCATAATTTCGAGAGAAAAAACGGAGCATGGGAAACGACTGCCATGGGAACAAGTAGTAAACGAACAAAGAAGAGGGAAAAAGCCAAGAAAAGCAAGGAGCTGTATTGCAATAAATCTGGTGCTCTTCGCTAAAGCGCTAAAAAGGAAAAGTTAAAGAGCAAAGGGATGATTATAAGCTGCAATCCCAAGAAACAGTATCTGAACATGATCAAAGATGACGTCAAAAAGAAAATCACGTGCCATTCGTAACTCAGTGAATAACGTGAGTTTCAAAAAAAGCAGCTTGCCTGGTAAAGCAGGAGACAGTCTCTGTATCATGCCGGAATACATACACGCTACCATTTCTCGGGATTGTGATTTTGGTCTTCTATCTCCATCATTTTATGTTTGTTTTGTATGTAGTTTTGCATAAACATAAAGATTTCATTATCTTCAACCAAAAGAAAAAAAATATCGTTTCAAAGCATGGATTAGCTAATAGAAGTTCTGGGTTTTAAACCCTGTTGCTTTGTTTTTGTTCTTTCTCATACTCCTGCCAATTTTAGACTACCAAATTCTAGACTAATTCTTTTCTATATTTAGAATTACGGTGGTCTCAATGTTTAACGGGTCAATTCCAATCCAAATATTGAATTTGATGCACTGCATCTAGACTGTAGCTAGTACCTGGATTATGCGACGTAGAGGGCGTTGGGGTCCTTTGGCAGCATGAGTACCAAGCCAAGGAGTATGCCGCCACACGGTCTTCCCATCGCTGCCTGCTATGACTTTATTTTCTCCAACCACCAATTCAAGAGACCACATCCCTGGCAGCATTTGCCAAAGAACAAAGCACCCACTTTCACCACTTCTAGTCCCCAAACTCTTCACATTCTTTCCTGATGAGATTTCAGTCTCACAACGGACCATCTTCACACTTCCTGCTGAGTACATGTTTTTCATGCATTTTTGTTGCTTTAAACACCCTGTTGATGCCAAGTATTGCTGTATGATATAATGCGCGGCAGAGTTTTCCTGTGACAAAATAAAAGCTACGTTAATTAGCAAATGGAGTTGCAGGAAAGAAAAATATATGAAAAATTTAGATAAGTAGAGGTGCAAGAACTTACAATGGGTGTGTTTTTAATGTGAATGCGATGGATGGGGTCGTTAACTAGAGGGATTGGGGCTAGAGGGCAACCCAATACTCCAAGTAGAAGCCTCAAATCTTGTCTTTTGGCTGGAATGCTCCCATACAAGGAGACTGTAAAATTGTTTCCTGCAGAAAGACCCCTTTGCAATCGAAACCATTCACGAATTATTTCCCATGAACTTTCCTTTTTGTTACCTTCTTCTTGCATATCGGGGTCCGGACCTTCTAGCAGTGGAGTTAAGGTTTGCGTGCACCATCTTTGCTTCCATCTAGCCCTCGAGCCCATGAATGTATGGAAATTAGTGCTAATTAGCAAGTGAATATTGTTGAAGATGATGAGTGTTGGGGTTGGGAATCAGTATAAGTGAGCAGAAGTTATGTGTATAAAAACAAACACCATTGCAAGGAGTTATAGCTAGGGATCAGAAGGAAGAGACAAAAGGAACAGCTTATCTGTCCAGCAGCAGATTATGGTTTTATTATAATACAGGCTTGTGTGTTGGGATGTCTTTCGCTTTATTCTTCTCTTCTCTTTTAGAGTCCTCTTGTCGTTTTATTACTCTTAAGTATCCTCTCGAGCGACTCCATGCGAGGGGTCCCAGGAGGATTAGGCTATCTCTTCCTTTTTCTTGAAAAAATATTTAGGTCCTCTTTGTGGACCCTAGGACATACCCTACAATTTGGGCTCCTGATCACCCCGGTCTAAAGGGGTAATCTTCCTAGGAAAATGGTATCACACCACCATATCAGGCTCATTACACAAGGCAGGACTGAAGTCTTGGCGATTGGTCCACGCAACATCAAAAACTTTCATTATTCCATTTCATCCATTTATTTATCTGGGTGGATGCAGAAATTACCTCGGACTTCGATAATCTTTTTAATAAAATAAAATTAAGAATCCCATTTTTTTTAGAAGAGGGATATCTGTCTGATCCAAAATATTCAGAGTCTCGTAATGAATAAAAAACAGAATAAATAATATTTTTATTTATTGTAATAAAAATAGTCCTGGTCACTTCATGGCAAGCCTGCCGACAGGTTCACTGATAAAGGGCATCACTTCCGCGGTTCGGTGATGGTATTTTTTAAAAAAGAAATTAATTTTTAATTTTTTAAAATAATTTTAAAAAAATAAAAAAAAATATTATTGTAATATATTTATAAATAAAAAACTATTTTAAAAAATAATCATTATATATAATTAAAATCACCCAAAATCAAAAACATTTAAGTAATTTATTGAATAAATCTTTTTATACAGAATATAATTTGAAATTAGTCATATTTTAAATTTATTTTATAATAATTATGAGTTTGAATTCTTTTAAAGTAGCTGAAAATTTATATAATTATTAATTTTAAAATTTATAAGATTTATTAAAATAATAATAAACTAATATAAATATTCATGTCAACATTGTAACTTAACTTATTAATTTTTAAATTTATTATTTAAAAATTATCAGACCAAACTTATATTATTAAGATGCTATTAAGCTTGTTTGAAAACCATGGTTAAAAAAAAAAAGAAGATTATTGGAGTAATTCGTAGAACAAATCTTCTCTGGTCAATAATATCTGTAGAACATACATGGAGCCGTCACTGACAACTAGCTAGCATCTTCTTTAATCGTGACCCTTAAAACATGCATGTCCCAGTGTGGTCCCCACGAGCACCAGATGCTGTCACCATGTGATGATTCTCCAAGTTCTAGATAGACCTGGTCAAGAAGACATTAACATAACAGAATTCCTTTCTTCCCTTCCTCTTTTTGACAATTAACGTCAGACGATGTCCCTAACCACCACCAGCCAATTTCTTAAACCTTAAATCTCGGTGACCCAGGTTTTGTCAGTGAATAAAATAAATCAACTGTGTCTAGTTGCACACTTGCTCTTATGTTAGATGTTGATAGTAGAGTTTTTTTTGTTCCTGAGTTTTTTTTTTTTTAAGTTTCTACTTTACGGTGACCCACACGGAGGGGGGCCGGCCGTTAGGCCTCGACACGGGATTCGCTAGAGGAATATGGTGTAGAGTCGGCATCAATGGTGGAGCGGCGGATGGAGGGGGATGGGTGATCTTCCAAGCCAAGAGCTCTCTGCTTTGGTGGGAAGGTTGAAACGTGACTTTCATTTGTTGGGAAGTACAAGTGGATATGCACATGCTTCCATAACTTTAATCGCTAGTCTATCACATCTTTCAATTGTATTTCAAATTTGACCCGACTTTTATTATCAAATTATTTAAAAATAAAAATGATATTATATTTTTTTAAATTTAATTTTTTTATTTAAAACTAATTTCTTATATTTTTTATTGTTTTGATGCATTAATATTATTTTAAGTTTCTACTTTACGGTGACCCACACGGAGGGGGGCCGGCCGTTAGGCCTCGACACGGGATTCGCTAGAGGAATATGGTGTAGAGTCGGCATCAATGGTGGAGCGGCGGATGGAGGGGGATGGGTGATCTTCCAAGCCAAGAGCTCTCTGCTTTGGTGGGAAGGTTGAAACGTGACTTTCATTTGTTGGGAAGTACAAGTGGATATGCACATGCTTCCATAACTTTAATCGCTAGTCTATCACATCTTTCAATTGTATTTCAAATTTGACCCGACTTTTATTATCAAATTATTTAAAAATAAAAATGATATTATATTTTTTTAAAATTTAATTTTTTTATTTAAAACTAATTTCTTATATTTTTTATTGTTTTGATGCATTAATATTAAAAATAATTTTTTAAAATAAATAAATATTATTTTAATATATTTTTATATAAAAAACACCTTAAATCATATCACATGTCATACTTTCAAACATATGCTGAGTGAAATATATCTATCCAGCTCTCAAACGTACTTTTTTTTTTTTTTAGATTAATGTGGGGGGCCGGCCGTTAGGCCTCGACACGGGATTCGCTAGAGGAATATGGTGTAGAGTCGGCATCAATGGTGGAGCGGCGGATGGAGGGGGATGGGTGATCTTCCAAGCCAAGAGCTCTCTGCTTTGGTGGGAAGGTTGAAACGTGACTTTCATTTGTTGGGAAGTACAAGTGGATATGCACATGCTTCCATAACTTTAATCGCTAGTCTATCACATCTTTCAATTGTATTTCAAATTTGACCCGACTTTTATTATCAAATTATTTAAAAATAAAAATGATATTATATTTTTTTAAAATTTAATTTTTTTATTTAAAACTAATTTCTTATATTTTTTATTGTTTTGATGCATTAATATTAAAAATAATTTTTTAAAATAAATAAATATTATTTTAATATAT